TGATTGACCTTCTTTCAATAAAAATACGAACTATTCTGAGAAATACTGACTGACAATAAACTAGCCTGCGAAAACCTCCGTTTCTTCTCTCTCTTCGCAGCTGGGCACGTTTCGTGCGGAGGAACGTCTGCGGCTCAGCGGCAGAAATTCCATACTGATGACGCAAATCAATGTTTACATATTAAATCCGGTAGTCATGGGGTTCTAAATATAAATTTGTCCAGTTTTACGTGTCTTCTGGTCGATTTTGGTAAAGTGTTGTGTTTATCTGCAACGAGCTCCAGCAAAACTCAAATACTTCTTCTAGAGAAGACTTTATCTTACAAATATTGACTGTGTTGTTAGAGATTCTTCTCGTTTAAATTTGACCTTTGTGGCCTTTGTCTTTTGTCTGTCATTCGTAAACAATAGCTAAAACAATGTAACTACGCCGTCGACCAATCAGCGCTTCTGACCGGATTCCAGGTAGATTTTACGTCATCAGTATTGACTTTCTTTTGCTGAGTCCCAGACGTTCCTCCGCGCGAAACGTCCCCAGCGGCGAAGAGCGAGGAAGCACGGATGTTTTCGTAGGCTAACAATAAACAAGTGGGAGAAATAAATAAACGAGTAAACTACTAAACAATGGCTCTTATAACGAGGCCAGGCGCAGGATTAACAACAAATTCGATGTTATTTCAGTAACTACAAAAATTTTTAATAGCTTTGAAGTTTCACTAAAATAATATATAAAACTGTTCTAGAGAGGCCTTAAACTGCTGTTTAAGAAGTAAAAATTAAAATCCAAGATTTCACCGATCAACGACATCTTCAGCGATGAGAAACTATTCCGCGCGCGCTATACATATGCAAAGAAAGTGTAGGGTGAAATGTGTAAAAGATGTGAGGGATGTATGAAAGCTATAGAAATAAACTGTGAATTGAATACAATGCTCTAACGATAGAGTGTCTCTAGATAAAGGACCTCTAAAAGCGCTAAAGAATGGTCTCTAAAATAAAATACTAAAATAGAAGGTCTGCGAATTCAGCACATTCTTCTCGAGAATTGAGTGTAGGCTTGCACTTTCTAACGTAAAATGCTTCATAGAGACGTAGATTAGCGGGGTCGTTTTCGCTCATAATAATCTTGACATCGATTCCTTCATAGTCTTTGTTCTGGCAGGAGTAGATATGTTCTTTAACAGAGGAGTTTTGATTAGTGAGATGTTCTCTTACGCGGTCGTGGATTAAGCGTGTCGTGCTACCAATGTATTGCTGATTGCAGTTGTTACACGTGAGCTGGTACACTGCATTTCTTTAGAGATAGGGTATTTGTCTCTAGTGCATTTGCGCTCTGTGGAGGTGTGGGATAGGGCTTGTCTGAGCGTGTAGTATTTGTGGGCAATGCTTACTGGGATGTTTTCTTTTCTAAAAATGTTAGTGATCCTGTGATTGAGTCGTTAAGAAGAAATGTAAGGGATCTTAAGGTATGACCATTCTGTGTTGGCAGGTTGAGGGTTTCGTTGAGGGTTTTGTAGGCGATTTATCTGCTCTATATTGTTCTCTGGATAACCGGTAACACGGGACGAAAAAACGGATTTACCGAACGTCAAAGGTGAAGTCAAACGGGCGATAAAGGCCACCTTTGCACACCTTTGTACAACTTTGACGCGCGACAAATGTTTATCTTTGCCCGCGGTCAAAGACGAGTCTTCAGGCGATAAAGGCCGTTTTTGTCACGCCTTTAACCCCTACCTTTGACGCGCGTCAAAGGTATATTTCATTAGCATTTGTACCCCTATCAAAGGCGTCCTCAAATATGTCTGAGATTCAGGCCAAAGGTGTGGCAAAAGCGCGGCAAAGTTATGTCTGTGATTAAAGTCAAAGGCTTGTGAAAAGTGTCGTTAAATGTGTCTGAGCCTCAGGTCAAATGTGTGACAAAGTTGTCGTCAAATGCGTGTGAGATTTAAGTCAAAGGTTTAACAAAAGTGTTGCCAAATATGTTTGGTTTTTTTCCTCCCCTCGCATCGCGCCTCTCGCTCGTCTCGCGCTTCGCGTGAATTCCGCGTTCGCCTCGCGCTTCGCGCGAATGCCGCGTTATTGCCTCGCTAGTCATAAGCGCTTGATATACAGGCTAGAATCCAACTTGAGATTTCAATCAAATTCAATTGCGACCTGGATACCGTTTTAAAAGGTGGACAGATAAGAGACTGAGGTCATAATCTTGTACTTTATTGTCCTAAAACCTCATTAGATGATTAGAAAGCTGAATAGTTCCGATTAAAACTTAAACGCATAAAAATGATTTTTAAAAACCTTTTCACGATTTATTGTCTAAAGTACTCATTGCAGTCTGTCAATGGACAATCAAAGTGACTGCCGCAAATTTTTGAAGCACTATAAATGTTCCAGATACACGCTGCTGTCACGGACGGCAGCCTGCAAAATAGTTAAAACACATCTTTCACGCAAGCCAGTGCACAAATCAGGGTAAGTAAGAAATGTTCTTGATGAGGAGCCCATCTGTCTTGATGTTATCTTTGCGAAGATTTTCATTCTAGAGTGCTTTTGATTCTTGATGTTAGTGAAAGACAAACGCCATGTATCTAACTAAAATCTTCCTCTCTTGTGTGTTTCGTTCCACTGGAGACTTATCACTTTGCCTTGTTTCTTTTATCTGTGAAATAATTGTAAAAGAATATAGCAATTTGGGATAAAAAATACAGTCATAGTGTTTTAAATAAATTTTTCGGCCCCACTCCCTTTTTACTATCGCTCCTTTTCTGCAGAAAATCCCCCTTTCTCTTTACCTTTATCAAAACTTAAAGACCCGGTTAAAAATGTGTAGCGAACCTAATGCTTTTGAATGGGAACATTACATTTCGTGTACATGCATTGTCATTAAGTTCGTCATTTGTGAAATTTGACGTTTGAGTCGAGCCTTATTATCACTTAATAAAGTCCAGGAAAATTCAATCAAAATTTCCCTCTATGCCTAAAGCTTAAAATTAAGCTATAGAAACACTTTATATTATACCTAGCCTGCATAACAAGCGTTTCCAGTAGGAGTTATTGCGCGAGTTAGCCCCTCCCGGCCCCTCCTTCCTCTTTTTTTGCCCAAAACTCGCGCGGAAAAGCTTGCTACGCAGGCTATTTTTAAAGTTATTGTCCAGTCACAATAAAGAAGGGACAGCTCGGTATGTTTGAATGATTATTATTAAATGTTGAAACATACCTAGCTGCCACTGTGGTGGTACAAAAATCAATGGAATATTTTAAAAATTATGCAGCCTGAGCCCCATTACGTATAGAACCCAGAAAAATCAATAGGAAGAGATACTCACGTTTGTAAAACATCCGAAGTCTTCAAATAACCACACTTCTTTGTTTGATAAACTGCACTGAATCCTGTTCAAATAAACTTATGTACTTGCTTCAGTACTATGCCCATCAAAGTCTGGTACAGATATTTTTATTGAAGTACACTGTCCATGAAAAAAATATATATGTAAGTCTTATATTATTTCGTAGTTAAGCATAACTGTTAGAAAAACCAGAATTGGTTAATCTTGATGTTAGTAGGTTCTCTCATGGAGTTTTGACTTGAATTGCATTGTGAAATATAAGCCAGCTATTACTTTTGCAGAAATGCACTAACCCTATTAAGAAGAAAGGGCTTGATCTAATGTATTCTCTACTGTGATATAGAAAAATTTTTAAAGTTTACTGAACCAGATTTAACAATCAGAAAAGCTCCCAAGCACGACATACACGCCTGTTCGGAGTTGGTTTCCATAAGCAAAACTATGAAGTTTGAAGAACAACTATTGTATGCACACATAGAAAAGAATGACACGTACCTTTTGAACAAGTTTGTGGTCTAAACTCTGTAAACTCTATCAAAGATAAGGGTGAAAATATTTGTTAACAAAAGCTGGACTGCTTCGTACAAAAAAGCAGCTTTTGTTTTCTTCAGATCTGCGTAGTTTGTTTGTTTGCGCGGGCGGAGAGAGTTTGCAGCCGCGACAATTTCGCGCCAAAAACAGGGTGTCTTGCTTGGGTTCAGTCTTCCATCGTCCAATTGTTGAGTCATTGTTTTGCGTCGCTGTCATTACATGGTATATTGATCGATCAAGGAGAAAATGATCCACTCAAGATAAGACAAAAAAAATCACTTCGAAAAAGTACATATTCTAGAACATTTTCAAAAATAATTATAGAACAGCAATTACAATGATTACCCGCCCGTGTTCGGTATTATCGTATAAATATCTTTAAAACAGTATTCAAATACAGCTTTTTAATTTCCTTTCTTAATATCAGTTTCGACATAAGTGTTTGTAGACGTAATTCATCGCATATTTGCTCTCACCTTTCAGCACCATTCGAAAGAGTTGTAAAAGTGTAGCGGTCGTATTTGACTTCATTTTTGACTAGTATCAAAGGTGTGGTCACAGCCACTACACTTTTGACTTCATCTTTGACGTGCGTCAAAGGTAAAGTCAAAGTTACCAGCATATTTGACAACGACTTTGATAAGGGTTAAAGGAATAGCAAAGCATTGATTCATTTGACTTCATCTTTGACGCGCGTCAAAGAAGAAGTCAAAGTTGTTACCAATTTGACTTTACCTTTACCGAGGTCAAAGGAGTAAGCAAAGAGGTTATATATTTGGCGACATCTTTGACGCGCGTCAAAGGTGAAGTCAAAGCCAATACCATATTTGACTTAACTTTTGACGCGTGTCAAAAGTGCAGTAAATCCAATTTTTCGTCCCGTGTAAGGAGAAGGATGTCATCGAATGTGTTTAGGTGTTGTTTTGTAGATATATTTGAGGAGCTTCTGTCATCGATGCGTTTCCGTTCGTTGCGGATGAAGTTGAGTTTGGATTTGGTGGTGATAGCTGACTAATGGTGGACAAATAGGGATTTCTTGGCAGGCTTTTTGTACAATTCAAAAGAGCTGTTGCCATCCTTGGATAAGATGACTTTGAAATCGTGTAATGACAATGACAGGCCACTCTATGTTGTCTCTGGTTTTTCAATTTCAAATTTCAAATTAGGGTGCACATTGTTTATAATATGGTGGAAGTGGTCTTCTGTTTCTTCATTAGTTGTTTGGAGATAGATGTCGTCAACATGCCTCTTGTAAGGGCTTATTATTAGGTGCGAGGAGAAGGCGATGGTTTCTAGTTTGTCCATGAATAGGATGGCTAGTATGCCTGAAATGCTAGAACCCATGGGTAGGCCTTCTCTTTGGCGAAAAACTTGATCTCTCAAGGAGAAGTACATGTTGTTTAGCGTGACTTGGAGGAGGTCTGAGACCTCTTGTTTGGAGAGGTGGAGTATTGGGTTCTGGATTCTATCTGTAGCGTTGGTGATGGCTTCTTGTATAGGTATTGTGGTGCATAGAAATATACCACACCGAGGCTGCATGGATAAGGTAACGCTTTGTTTGTGGTGAGATCGCCGACTTGGATACAAGTATAATGAGTTCGAGACTGTTTTCTAAATGGAATAGGACATTTGGTAGCATCGGTTTAAGGGCGTTGGCGAAAAGCCATGAAATGCGTTAGGTGGGTTCATTGATATTGGAGACGATAGGTCGTACTTTAATATCGGGGCCTGTTTTGCGGGTCTTGATAAGATGGTGGAATCTGGGCAGATCCGTGTTTGACGCGAGGAAGCTTTTTTGAACGAAGGGAAGGAATTCATTTTGTAGGCAGATCTTCTTACAGGCTGTGTTAACTCTACAGTCAACTCTCTCCAAGAAGGACACCTTTGGGACCGGCACTAAGTGTCCGTCTTAGAGAGATGTCCGTGTTATAGAGAGTCAAATAAAGGAAATAAACAAAGGCAGGGAACACCTCTAGGTGTCCGTCTTATAGACGTGTCCGTTAAGAGAGAGTCGACTGTATTTCCGACTGTCTTGGCTGACATGCGGGGCACTTTTTGGTAGGTGTTGGCGTCACTGAGGTGACCAAGGGCGACCCGTGTGCATGTGTCTTGCTGTGTGACGCAGAATTCAGTGCCTTTATCCCTGGGGAGGCATACTTAGTTCTTCTCTTTGAGTTCTTTTATAGTTTTCTTGTCTGTGTCGTCAATATTCGACCATTTTTGTTGGGGTTCTGGTGCTTTGAGAGAGACCTGGAATTTATGATGAATCCTCTGCAGCTTTAACTCTTAACGAACCAATTTTAAAAGAGGTATTGTTGGGGGGATATGTAGCTCGCTTGGCCAATTTAACGAGTAAGGTACCAAGACTCTGTTCTTCTACTTCTGACTTTTTTTCTTCTGGCGTGTTTTACAGCTATGACAACTCTTCCTCTGCCCATCATCAGCGAATTAAATTGTCAAATTATAGACGTGTTTGGGTTAGCTGACCGTGAGAGCTTTCCATTGCATATCCTGTCGCTTAACCTGGGGAGAATAGAATAGACTACGTTGTCGTAATTGACAGGTAACAAAGAAGCAATTGAATGCTACGGTAAAACTGCTTGCTAGGACCAAGCAAACAAAACAGGAACCTCAGTGTAGGTAAAATTCAAGGTCAACTTTTATCCCCGAACATGCCTACTTCAAAGAACTAGTTTGAGAAATCCTTCAAATAGACTATACTTCTAAAAAACTCACGAACTATCCGTGTGGGCTATACATTGAATTTCCTGGGACTATGAATTGTTTATTAAGAAACTGGCACGTACTACAAAATAATCATTCGGATACCCTAAACATAAGATATCTCGCAAAAATGAACAAAAAGAAATATGAGGTAACAAAACGGTTGGTATCTGGCCCTGGAATCCATTAACTGAGAAATCTTTCTACAAGAAAACTCCATGAATACGATCTTGACCCCTATCAATAAGGCGTTTACCCAGAATGTTTTGCTTCGTTTTCCAAGTGGATTCATTCTTCGGATAACCATACCACTTAACTAGATACTCCGTTTTGCCCTTTTTCCTACGAAATTTGAGGATTTGTTCAGCTTAGAAAATATTTTTAATATCTATTACAAAATGATCAAGATTTGATTGCGACTGCACCAGTCCATCTTGACCATCTAAACGTAAACTCGAATTTGTAGACTCTAAAAGTGGACTAGAGTCAATATTCCTATCAACAGGAAGCTCTTGCTCAAAGTAATCATCTGGAATATCTGAATCATCGAAATAAGGCTCACTACATAGGATCATCAAATATTGGAGGGTCAATTGACCTTAAACCAGGATCGATAAATGGTTTCATTGAATTCACATGTACGACAAAAGCAACTTTCTTATCAGTATCGGTAGGCAATCAAAAATGAACTGGAGAAGATTGTTCGACAATTCTGTATGACCCGAAATAATTATGTAAAAGTTCCCGAGACAAACAATTTTGAGTCTGAGGAGTGTAAACCCAAACTCATCACATTTAAGAGGTATAATGGCTCTTGACCACCGTAAATTAATTAGGCCTGAAAAAAAAAATCAGGCCCCAATTTTTGCGTTCGACAAGTTTACTTTGCAAAATCTTGTCAACAAATCTGGGTGCGTGTAAACCAACCTTTTATACCATTTATACATCACATCTGAGGTGAAACAGTAGTATGAGGCACTGTTTTTATCATACCGGCAGACCTCGGACAGAAAGCAGTATTTCACAATACAAATTGCACTCATTCAATATTCATAAACTGTTAAAAAAATTTCCAAAATCACCTATACGGCCATCCGGTTCTCACTTTTGTAGTGCGAGCTGTGGCGAGTGTTTGAATGAACATTAACAGAGTTACGCTCCAACATTATAAAGAATTTATTCTGTTTATTTTTTATTTAATGGTTTATTAACGCGCGGCATTTTGAGTACTCCTGCAAGCGATGTTCACTGAACGACTGAAAACAATCGGCACAGCGATTAAAATTACAAGAGAGACTACTAACAATCAATAAAAGAAATATAATTCGGTGAAACATATACAGAAACAACAATTTTCATTCAGGAAGACAAGTATTAAAGTATCCCTAAAAATCCTGAGTCTTCAAGCTTCAAGCTTAAGTTTATGTTTTAAGCCGGCTTCCCGGTGTTTGCTTTTTTCAAAGACGAACTCGAGGCAAGAAAATCGCTCAAAGCTTTCTTTTCCGGCCAGAATTATAACTAAATATTCTTTGGAACGTTTTCTTTCTATTTGCGGTGAGAAACTGTCTAAAGGCTTTTTAAAGTTCTGTAAGCTTATATCAAACCTGATACTCGGTCAGATCATTGTCTCAAATCTTACAAACGTGCATAAACTAAATGACCGCATAAACTCCGCTCGACTTCATTAAATTAGATCCAAAAAAACAAACATCAAATACAATAATTTCTCTGGCTTACCATTCGAGATGCAGCTCCTGAAAGGTATCAAGAAAAGCCAGTATCGCTTCAGACTTTGCAATCCTCTTACGCATCAAGCAAGGTGAAAACGAAAACGATGCCATCCGAAATCGGATTTCCGACTTTGACAAGCGACGTATTCCTCAACCAAAAACCCAATAAACAAACTAGCCATGAATAACAGAGGACTCCTGATAGCAGCTGAATTTCATTTTGCACATCCAGTGGAAAAAGACAGTTAAAAACATCACAAGTTGACACAAAACTCTGTCAGCTTCAGCTGTCAAAGTAAACAAGATTCAAGATGCTGCATAAATTTTCCGCATGAACTCACCTGTCAAATTTTGACCAATCAGAGCATAAAAATTGGACGTAGAGCGTGACCAACGCGTGACCATGGTGAGAAAAGTCAAAAGCAACTGTCTTCCCTGCCTGTAACAGCTGGCTGAATTTTCGCGTCCGAGGTCAGTTTGCAATCAAAATTTTAATTGTGTAGCACATAAACACAACATATTTCATATGAATTTAGAAAAAACTTGAACTTGAGCCTGCGATCACTTGAAAACTAGTAACTTGTCAGCGGATAACTTCAAAAAAATACTTGACCTCGATGGGTCGACACCTGAGCCTGCGATACGGTCAAGTGATACTGGTCAGCGGGTACCCTGTTTTGACAGCTGTCAATTGATCAAAACATTGATGTCCAATATGTGTGCATTATCAGTTTAACTAGTAAAAGTATGAGATTGAACATTGTTCGCGATCTAGTAAAACAATTAACTGGTCAGCGGACAGCTTCCAAATAAATCACGTCACCTCGATGAGTTGACACATGAGCCCGCGATATGGTCATGGGATACTGGTCAGTGGCTATCCTGTTTTGACAGCTGTCAATTGACCATATTGTGAATGTCCTAAAATCCTATATTAAAGATGTGGACTTGCCAAGACACACCTGAGACACCCCTCCCTTCCTTTTGATAGTCTCCCCTACCCCACCCGTACAATCTGTAGACACGTACGTACGTATGTACGTACGTACGCTCGGTCAATCACGTGACAACCAAACGAAAAGAGGTTGACCATATTCCATGAGCATGGGGCTCTGTCCCACGCGCGCTTCGCGCGCGCGGGAGCCTCGCTATGAGGACAAGGCCTCAATATAATTCAAGGACAAAGCCTCAAAATAAAATATGAGGGCGAGACCTTAATATAAAAAACAAGGACAAAGCCTTGATACAACATGAGGACAAAACCTCAACAAAATGAGAACAACGCCTCAAATACAAGTGAAGGAACAAAGCCTCACACTGAAAAAACGGCCCAGAAGTAAGTACTGGAAGACAGAATGTCGCCGACAGCGAGTAAAGGAAAACAACAGAACACAACGATACACAATGCAACAGGATAAAAACACAATATGCAGACAAAACTGACATATGAACAGCAAACGATAACCCGATATGCTGATACAGTACGCTGTACCTCTGAGGTAACTTTGTTAGAATGGTTACAAGGTAATTTGTTAAAGTGTTGAAGGTAGTTGAAAGAAACCTATTAATATAAGCTTCAAGCTTCGTTAGGCTTCCTTGTCACATTAGTTTCATAATTTAATTAACACCTTTTGTTCATGTTGTGTAAGGTTTTGTGAGTGACTAAATAAATAAATAAATAAATAAATAAAAAATAAATAAATAAAATACACGAAAGTTTTAGCCTATAGGGTTTAATAACGTATCGTTTTGTTTGGCACTGTTTTGTTGTTGTTTTTTTTTTATAATACTGTAATCTTAATTATACATACGTTGTTTAAACAAGATTCAAGATTCAAGAAGCTGCATAAATTTTCCGCATGAACTCACCTGTCAAATTTGGACCAATCAGAGCATAATAATTGGACGCAGAGTGTGACCAACGCGTGACCATGGTGAGAAAAGTCAAAAGCAACTGTCTTCGCTTCTTGTAACAGCTGGCTGGATTTTCGTGTCCGAGGTCAGTTTGAAATCAAAATTTTAATTGTGCGGTACATAAACACAACATATTTCATATGAATTTTTAAAAAATTGAACTTGAGCCTG